ATCTTGAATAGACAATTGTTTATAAACACTTGTATCTGATGGATGATTACTTTTGTAGTTCTCTAGGTTTATGCTCCATACAGTAGAATTGTTTTGATATTTGTATTGAAAATTCTAACTTTGGTGTTAGTTGACAGCTGCTTTGCATTCCAGATATTCTTCAGCTGTAGATATGCTTCTCTCTTGTTAAAGTGATTACTTACTTACTTACTTACTTACGCCTGTTACTCCTCGTCAAGGAGCATAGGCCGTTCACCAGCATTCTCCATCCAACCCTGTCCCAACCAATCCTTTCCAGCTCTTAACAGTTCTTATTCATCCTTTTCATATCCGATTCTATTTCCCGACGTAATGTGTTCTTTGGACTTCCTCTTTTCCACTTACATTCACGATTCCAAGTTAATGCTTGTCTCGTGATGCAGTTTGGTGATTTACGTAATGTATGTTCTATCCATTTCCATCGTCTTTTCCTAATTTCCTCCTTAGCTGCAAACTGGTTTGTTCTCTCCTACAGTAGGCTGTTGCTGATGATATCCGACCAATGGATGTTAAGTATCTTGCGTAGACAGCTATTGATAAATACTTGTACCTTCTTGATGGGGGTTGTTGTAGTTCTCCAAGTTTCAGCTCCGTACAGTAGAACTGACTGCCTTGACGTTCGTATTGAATATTCTGACTTTGATATTGGTTGAAAGTTGTTTTGAGTTCCATATGTTCTTCAGTTGAAGGAATGCCGCTCTAGCATTGCCAATCCTCGCCTTGACGTCTGCATCTGAACCTCCGTGTTCATCGATGATGCTTCCGAGGTATGTGAAGGATTCTGCATCTTCCAGAGTTTCGCCCTCAAGTGTGATTGGATTTGTGCTCTCCGTGTTGCATTTGAGGACCTTGGTTTTCCCTTTGTGTATGTTGAGTTCTGCTGACGCAGAGACTGCTGCTACTCTGGCTGTCTTTGTCTGCATTTGTTCGTGTGTATTGGATAGGAAGGCTAGGTCATCTGCGAAGTTCAAATCGTCTAATTGGTTCTGAGCTATCCATTGTATGCCGTGGTTTCCCTCAGATGTCGAGGTCTTCATAATCCCATCGACCATCAGAAGAAACAGGAAGGGAGAGAGTAGACAGCCTTGTCTTACTCCGGTCCTTACTTGAAATGTATCTGTCAGCTGTCCTCCATGCACTACCTTGCACTGTAGTCCGTCATATGAGTTCCAGATAATATTGACAATCTTCTCAGGAACTCCGTAGTGTCGAAGAAGTTTCCATAACGTTCTCCAATCTACTGTTAAACTGATACCTTATCAAATTCCTGTTCACTGTTATAATCCAATCATGTTCTAAAAAATATTGAGATTTTGAAGGAGAATAGTTGTTAACAGTGTTCTCAGAGAACAAAATACCATCGAAATCATCCACTTGAACTACAAATCATCATCATCATCATCTCAGAAAGAAAATCTTCAAGATGAATAATGATCTCGTTACAATTGAACCATTCTTTTATTATTAAATTATTCATACTTTTAACTTCAATCGATTCATGATATTTTAGAACCGATTTCTATTGCATATTACTAAATAGACATATATACGGTAATATTGATCCACGCTTCTTGATTTTTCCTAGCTGTTTCACAATTAAGTTAGTTTTTCTTTTTCTAATATTTCTTTCTTAGTTTTATTCACAGCAGGTAAGATACATTAAGTTTAAGCTTAAATAAATTATATTCTTGATGAAAATATGATCTTTGTTTTTTTGAGGGGGGGGGAGGGGAAGGGGAAGGGAGTGGAAGGGAAGGGAAGTATATAACTACTACACCCACCTACATAACAAGCCATTATAAAAATTAAAAAAAAATTAACATTATTCGATCTAAGATCAATTTTTTTGATATTTCTTCTATATTTGCTTAGTGACATTTGATTTTATTTCAGTGATGGGTAAATAATGATAGTTAACTAACTTTGATTTTTATTCTTGTTCATTATTAACATGAAATGTCATTAAATGAGTTATTACTAGTCTGTGTTAATGTATACAATTAGTCTACTTTATGGCATATAATTGTATTCATTTTATTTTCTTTGTTTTCGTTAAATTGATTGGAACATTTTGAACGATTATATATAATCAGAAGGGGGTCTACTGCCGGTCTCCAGCCCGGATAAAGGAGGAGGGTTGGATGTGAAGCTAGCGACTCCATCCCGTAGAAAACTATCTTGCTAGAAAATCGCTAACCAGAAAACATAATTTAAACCATTTAAACTCTGCCCAGGGAGTCAGAAGGTTTTCATTTAGAAGAGTTATGATACCTCACGAGGCTGATGCCTCTTCTGACAACCAGAGCAATCATTTATTTAGATACATGGAAGTAAGAAGAGGTTTTGCGGAGATTCTAGAAATTTCACTAGTTGAAATCATAAATCATTTTAAGCTAGACCACCATGGAAAACCTGGATCGTGGATGCTCTCTGCCGAGAATTACATATAAGTTAAATTACTCGTTAAGCTATTTTATCACATCTAGGATTTGATGGACAAACAGAAATGAAATAACTTTTTACTTAACTGACATTTTAATACAGACTTAATATTACTTGTAGTGGTTTAAAATGAAATTTTAAATATCAGTATAGGGTTGTGGAGATTATTAAGTTTTTGATTGAGATCATGAACTGATTGATGTTATACCACTATTGAAAACCTGGAAGCACCAGACGGCCGTTTCGTCCTATTGTGGGACTCCTCAACAGTGCGCATCCACGATCTCGCATGAGAGATTCGAACACAGGGCTTCAATCTCACATTCTAGCGCTTAAACTCTGAACCACTTAGTCGGCATACAGTGGTGTTAATGTATAACCCCACACACTATTAAATTGCGCGACCATTTTCCATTGTATCCAAGAAGACGTAAAAATTCAAGTTTTATATGTTTAAAGGAAGCTTGTTCTATCTTCTATATCCATAACCAGATTCAAATCCATTAACTCAATAATCATCTCACACAGGTATATCTTTTATAACTTATTAGCTTTAATATGTTTGATTTAATTGTCATTAGTTAAAGTTCACCCAGCCTTATTGTCATTTTAAAATTTACGTATTCTGTGAATAAGTCAGTGAAATTTGTCATATATGTGAATTTGTTCTAGTAATCACACTATAACAACATCGTAAGATGAAATTCCCAAGAGCTTTAGAGCATATACTGTACTTAGAATATATGTACTTAGAGAATATAATGTGAGAAAAGAATATGAATCTAAATTCAAACATCGAAGTCTGAATGAAAATAGAGAATAAAGTCATCTATATCACTGTGACTGGTTCTGCTAAGCCCCACTTAATTAAAAAGTTTTTTATCGATTTGAACGATTTAAATGATCATAAATATCAACATTTGTTGTGTCTGGCTTATTCAAAAGTAGAGGCACCGAAGACAGTAGATCATCTGTAAAATGTTTAAATTTATTTGATGTGTTAATGAATGAAAGTACAGTGTATACTGAAAGTCAAATTATAAGAGGTATTGTACTGATTTTTATCAGACAGAATTATTCTATATGGTAAGTTACCTAAAACTTGGAGTAAACTGATTGAATTACAATTATTCACTCAAATATCTGTATTTTAATCATTTTTGATGTTGTATATGTGTTAACTTGGAATGAAAGTAGTTGTTTATCATCCTTCATTTTATCTTCACTAATAATAAAAAGTAATGTTGGAAAAGTAAAATTTAACATGTCTATTCATTCTGTAACTCCGCCTGGAGTCCCTTTCCGGGGGCTACTGCTGGTCCCAAGCCCGGATAAAGAAGGAGGGTTGGGCATGGGGTTAGCGACCCCATCCCGTAGAAAACTAACTCGCTAAAAAAACGTTAACCAGAAAAAAATTAATATTCATTCTGTAGACTTTACCAAGGATTCATCTAAATAAATTTATTTTCTCTATGGACATTGAGATTTTAGGAAATATTACATAGGATTTATAGTTAATACTCAAACTTCCCTTTAATATAAAGCTTCTTGGAAGACCATAGCGGTTTTGATGGAGTTTTGTTATCTGAATTGGATGGTTTGCTCGTAGAGCTTTTATCGTTCTTCTGAACAACATCATCAGTATCATCATCATCAAAAAAAAAAAAGCAAAACTCCATCAAAATCATCCACCTGACCTACAAATCTTCTTTACCATCACAAAGACCATAATGATTTCATGACAGTTCATACACTTGTCCCAGTTCATGTTTACTAGTAAACAAACTGTATCTAAATATTATTTTATTATTATCATTATTATTATAAGCTTTATTCAACATTATATTTGTGGTACACTATTGAATTCTCAGCATAAAGTATTTCAACAAGTTCCCTTTTCTTTTATCTTGATCGATCCTGACGACAAATATTGAGTGATGGCCAGTTAGATGTTAGGAGTTCGATAATCGACATCTGAATAATGTTCATTCGTTTCAATGCATATTGCAAGCCACCATGATGTTGCTGGTTGTACCTTTTTGTAATCCGTACAGCGAAAGGTTGTAAACTTTTCGTAAACGCGCCTGAATAAGTTGTGAGCTCAATAGACATAATAGTGTGTTAAAACAAACAAGAAAACAGATAAGTTGACGAAATATTTAGATGGAGGAACAGGTAGCCCAGATATTCAAGCAGGTCGCCGATTTATTTATTCTAAATAAGTAGTTTACATTAACTTAATAAATTTTAGAAATATAATTTCATACTCCATCAGGTTGAAATAAAATTTATTTTTTATGCATTATTACCATTGACTATATATAATCATTTAGTCAAGATTTTAATTTCATTATTTTATTATATCTATTGGTTTCATTGGTTCATTATTTTAACCAATCAAAATAAATTACAGAGTATATATTTAACCAATCAAAATATAGATGCATTCTGATTGGTCAATTAATATACATGCACATATATATATATATATATAAGTGTCTTACATCATATGTTATTCACTGAATTGAATAATTTTCAAATATTAAAATGTTTTAATTTATTTGTAAAATAAATTTAAATCTATTTATAAATTATTCATGAATATTTTAAATTCAACAATTCAATATGATGAAATTATTGAATCAAATATTGATCCAATATGGTTATGTACATTAATTCTACTTGGTTCTGTATCATTATTAGGTACAATTGGTAATTTACTTGTATTAGGTGTTTATATTCAACAACATTTTTGGCCACATTTACATTTAAAATATAGACAAGTTTATTATAATCAAAAATTAAGTATATTAAATACAAATGAATTATGTTCTACAACAACAAGAACAACACCATCCACTTATCTTCATGATAATAATAATAATAATAATGATCATCCTATTCATCATATAATACAAATTCATGAATCTAATGAACAATTATTTACTAAAACTACTGGTACACCAACATTTTTTATTCTTGTATTAGCATGTGTTGATTTAATGGTATGTTGTTTTGTTGTACCATTAACATTCTATATGGAATATATACATTTACAACCATCTACAGATATATGGTGTAAAACACATGCATTTTTAAATATATGTAATATAATGTTTAGTTCATTATTAATTATAGCAATTGCATTAGAACGATATCTTACTATATGTCATCCATTACGTCGTATATTAACTATGAAACGTGCTAAATATTTAACATTATGTTTAGCTATATTTTGTATTATATATGGTATACTTGGTGCATTACATCATAGTTTAGGTATAACTAATGATGAACCATATATAAAACAATGTTGTGATACACCAGAAATACCAAATGCTACATATATAGATAAATTAACATATGATATATTACAAAAAGGGAATACAGCTAGTTTTATATTATCAATTCTATCAGTGATTATATTATATTCATTAATTTTACGAGTTGTTATTAAAACACATCGAGCTCAACGTTATACACCAATAATCAATAATAATAATAATAATATGAATATGAATATGAATACTATTTCATATAAACCTATTATAATGGATAATACAAAAATATTAAATATCCATCGAAAAAGTCCCATTTCATCAAATGATTTAAACAATACTACTACTACTACTACTACTAATAATAATAATAATAATAATAATGATAATAATAATAAGAATAGTACTACTGATCATACTACTGATAATACTACTGATGATCATAATAATATTGAACATTTAATCGATAATATTCAACATTTAAATCAACATCGTAAAAGTATTACTAATAGAATAAAAATGAATTTATCAATAAAAAATATAACAGAAAGTACATTATGGAGAGAAATACGTTCAGCTAGTGTATTATTTGTTGTAGCTGTTGTATATATTATTGTATTTACACCAGCTTTATTAACAGCTAATAAATTAGTACAATTTAATTTACTTGCATATAATACATATTACTTAAATAATATGTCAAATCCATTAATTTATTGTTTTATGAGTAATGCATTTAGAAAAAAATTAAAAATTTTATTATTTAATAATATTATATCATATAAATGTTGTTCTATTAAACATAATAATAAATTATTTTATCATTCACAACAACAACAACGACAACAACAACATCAACGACAACAGCATGGACGATTTCATCAACCACCACCACAACAACAACAACATCAACGTCGTAAACAACATTTAAGAGCAAGAGAATTAATCAATAATATTCGTAATAATAATAATAGTAATGATAACAATAATAATATGAATAATAAAGTAAGTACTCCCATAAACAAGTAAAGATATTCCACTTCTATTCGTCCAATCATCATCATCTTCAACAATACAATCATCTTCAACATCATCAACGACAACATCATAGACGATTACATCAATAATAACAACGTCGTAAACAACATTTAAGAGCAAGAGAATTGATCAATAATAATAATAATAATAATATGAATAATAATTAAATAAATACTTCCATAACTAAATAAAAATAGTTCATTTCTATTCGTCCAATCATCATCATCTTCTTCAACAATACCATCATCTTCAACATCATCAAAGACGTAAGCAATATTTAAGAGCAAGAGAATTAATCAATACTATTAGTTATACTAATAATGATATGAATAATAAAATAAATAAACCATTCAATGATGATGATAATGGTGATAACTTTCTTCTTATTTTAAATATGTATCTATTGAAAAGTTAGATTTTGTGAAATGTACTACTCAAATTTTACTTGGATACAGTTTTGGTTTTAAACAGTGTAAATCCTCTCACTCTCCGTCTCTCTCTCTCTCTCTCTTTGTGTATGTGTGTGTGTATGTGTATGTGTGCATGAGTGTAAATAATGAACAAAAGAAAAGGTAAAATGGATGTAATCTGTTTAGTTTTTAATGTACATAAAGTTTACCATCATTATTAAATCGTTTGAATGAATAGAATAAATAAAACTAAATGAACTCATGTAACTATGTTTCTCAATACTATTAAGGTGGGGGGGGAGGGCGTTACATCATTATCAATATAACAGAGTTAAATATTAGTTATGTAAGGTTAATATTGAATTTTGTAAATGTATATATGTTCTTCTTTTAATATTGTAATTATACATTATGTAATTGAATTTCTAATCTATTCTCAACATAAAACAGAACTTGATCATAAACATTGATAGTTTGTATACACTGTTAACATTAATGATCATTTCATAGAATAGAAACGTTTCCTTGATTACTTCTAGTGAAGTTTAAATTCAATTGCTATTGTTTACTTATATCTTTCCATTGTTGTTTAGGACTGCAATTAATCCATCTCTTATGTGTAATACTGTATGTATTGCCTTGACATTACCTTCATTCACAAGCATGATACATAAAGATGAATAGTAACAAACAGTGGAATCCAGTTAAACGTGCGTTTCATTCTATTGTAGTGAGTGTTTAAAAAATAAGGTTTTGTATGTCGCTAATGTTCTCACTACCTCGGTTACATAATGTTTCATATTCTCTGAATCTTAATTTGAATTTATTATGAATATGGTTTAAACTAAATATGAAAAATGAGGGGTACTTCTTTGAATTTAAGCACTTTTATTGTTTAAATGAAGAAAATAGTAAATCCGTTTCTGTGAATTTACTGAGTAAGGTTTTATACAACATCTTTCAATAAATTATAAACTTAATTGAGAGAAAGTAAAGATTGAGATTAATAATGAGGGCACTTATCACTTCCCGGTTGCTCACACCGTGGGAAGGTTCTTCTGGAGGTACCTGAAAAGGAAATTGGGTTAGGAGTGTTCTCAGTGATCTGAGAACGTGACCGCAGTGCCCATGGGACAACTGATTGAGGTCAGTCACACATGATCTTTTCGTGAATAGTTTTCGTGTTAGCTCCATACTTGTTAGGACCTTACCACTCGAGCTGGAAATCCGTGGGATTATATGAGGTATGCATCTTAGGGTCGATCATTTCTAACCTCACCTCTGCTTGTGGGAAAACAACATCGTTGTTATGCTGGTTGTTTGAAGGTTACACCTTACTGCCGTCACACATTTGTACGGTTAGCATTAAAACTTCGCCCTTGGATCTTGAATATGCTGCTTTTAGTATTACTGCTGTTCAACCAACCTGTCTGTCATGGTAAAAACTTATGGAACGATTGTTCCACTTAGTATAGGTCAATTAGTTCATTACGATAGGCAAGCTCGAACACCACGTTAAAGTATCAGCAATGGTCAAGAAAAACTGTTGAGATAGTCTAACAAATCAAGTTGATGATAGTAACCCCACTTTCAGAAATATACTGAAACACTTTCATTCCTTTCATCGGTTCATTTATTCGTAGAGAAATATGTAATCCTAATGAAAATGATATAAGATTATCGTATCTTAATTGAAGAAATGCTGTATGGTTATATTTAAAGTTGTGTTAATCATCATTTAAAAAATCACATAACTGGTTAAAACATTTTGTTATAAAATTATAGTATGAATGTCCATTATTCATCTAATATTAATAATTAATTAACATTTATGTTAATTAATTGCGAAATTTCAAACATATCATAATATGGTGTTTGAAGTTTTGAAATATGATTTCGCGGGGTGAATTAAAATGAACCTCCTAGAAGAACTGTGTTATACTTAGTTGTCTTGTACCCTATCAATGTACAACGACATGATACTGGACGGGCGTTTCGTTCTAGTATAGGGTTCCTCAGCAGTGCGCATCCACGATTTCGCTCGTGGGACTCGATCCCTAGACTTATCGGTGTCACATCTAAACACTTAGCCTGTAGACCACTGAGTTAATATCTAATAGTTTAATTGTTCAGCTTCAAATAATTCCATTATGGTCTAGCTTTAATTGACTCATGAATTCAACTATTGAATTACTAAAATCTCCACAGAATCCCCTTCTCATAAAATTAAATAGTTTAATTAAGAATATTTTATTATCTTTCTAGATTAAATTGTAGGTACGATCATCAAAGAAATGAAACCAGTGAAATGATGCAATGAGCTCATTTGATCATTCTGTCAAGGTAACCTAATATGAACAGTTGTGTTGTCACAATTTATAAATAGTTTCTGTATAGGTTACCATGATGGTTCCATCTTTGACCATAAAACATTCTGTTTTATCTCTTATTAACTGATGAATATGATCTGTATAAATCAGAGTGCTATCGGAAATGAACTTCAACTGTTTCAGACGTAATGAAATACGTACTGTTTATCTCTAATTCATAACATGACTTATTTTCAATGAAGTGCTATAAGACATGATTTTAACTATATATATGTGCAAAAACTATTCACTTTCAAAACAATCATCATAAACTGTGGATTAGTAGTCTTTAGATCTATACAGTTAAGTTACATCAGATCATATGCTTGTGGTTATTTTCTATTTACTTTAGCATAAAACTCATATAGTCATTACTGTACTGTTTAATGATGAAAATTGTAAAGAAAAACTTGGTGGTCAAACATGAAAAAATAAGTAGTCGATTTTATTGTTCGTTTCACAAATAAAAGAACATAAATGGAGGAATTCCACCACTGTGTGTGATTGATTGCTTACTCATCAATTACAAAGAACATACCTAGTTGAATGCTGTTGATTATAAAATGTGATATATTAATGTGATTACAAATAAAAATCAATTTTTTTTTCAATTTTTTGAGTAAGATCATGAATCGAATGATTTTAGACCTACAAGAACTGAAAAGCTGTTTCGTCCTATTGTGGGACTCCTCAGCGGTTCGTATTCACGATCTTAATCAATAACGTATTAATCACCACAACCTCATATTGAAAATCAGTTCGTTGTATAAAATCATTTATCAAATTAATTGAATTATTAAGGAATGAAGTATTATTATTATTATTACCAATAATAACTGTACAATATAGAATTCTCTGTACAAAGTATTTCAACAAGTTTGCTTCCCTTATTTCTTGATCGATCCTGACAACAAATATTATCTGATCTCTAGTTAAATGTTAGCAGTCCAGGAATCGACATATGAATAATGTTCATCAATTTCAATGTATATTTCCAATCACCTCGATGTCTATGAATGAGCTCTTTTTTATAACTTGTATAGAGAAATGTAAACTTTGCGCAAATTCACCTGAATAAGTTATGCGATTCATAGATGGCAGGAACAGGTAGCCTAGATATTCAAGCAGACCACCTTGTGATGTAATCTTACTCATCTATGTAGTTTACATTATTTTCAGTGTATAAGCATTTATCACAAAAGGTGTATAATACTATTAGATAAAGTAAGTCCTATACGTATCAATGACAAAGTTGGACTTGATTGTTTCAAATAAATTGAGCATTAGATAGTAAGTTAATACTAAACATAATTTTCTGTTCTCTTTCACTGAGTAGAAAAAAAGTGTATTTTTAACGTTTCATGACTTCATATAATTTAATACTTCATGACAAGTAAATAACCGAATTGACTCTGATGAAGTGTCATACACTATAGTCACGAAACATCAATAGTACAATTATTCTATTCATTTGGGATTTAAACAACAAAAAAAAACAACTTGAGTCAATAAAGTTGTCTGTTTACTTGTCTACTCATTGAATACTACTGAATATATTATGTTTTATTACAGATTGGTAACTACCAGTTTGCTTTATACACGAATATACTGTAACCATTAGCTTAGTTAATACTTAAGTGAAATGCATTATACAAGATAGGTATTTTTCACTAGTTTATTGGGCTTAAAGCTAATTATTGTCAGAACATAAGCTGGTAATAATTACTGTTTAAATAAGTGTGAATTTGATTGCTGTAAAACAAACAGTTTAATTACATAATTTGGTCTATTTGACCAGATAATGTTGAAGCCAGTAATCGATAACGAGTTACTTAGAAAAATATCTTAACAAGATTGATCGATATCTGTTGATGAACTATTAGGAGTCAGTCAGTCAGTAACAACGTGGAACTTCGTCCGTCCGTACATACATCAGTTCGAGTTGCCATACCACATTAACACAGAGATTCAGTTATCAATTCAAATCCCATAGTGGTAGAGGTAGTGAAAGTATAAGTAGTGACAGGGAACATTAACGTTTGATGATGTTATTTAAGGAGTATAATCCAGTGAAATAGATTTGGAAAGAAAATAAAGGACATGAAGAATTCAGAAGATTAGAGTTTGAGAGAACACAAAGAGTGCATGCACCTGCGCCATTGCAAATAATTTTGAGCCATGTCATTCAAGGTCTCTAACACCATCGGTTGCTATCATCTTGCGGTCATCAACCAGGTAGTCTACACCTACTAACGTGACTGACTCAGTTCACTTGTCAGTGATTTCATAAATTTGTTCCATGTTTTGGTCTGACCGCTGCTAGATTTCTTCCAATCTACTCCTACACCTAAAAATCTTTTAGGAACTATTATTTGTTGAACAACTATAAACTTTCAAGTATAAAAACGTCGATATTTCATATAATTATATCTAAAGTCTTCAAGTTTCACTCTAAAACAGTTTGTATATGATTGAGACTATATCATGTAATTTTCATTTTGTTAAGACTTTAATGGATTCTAACAAGGAATGAATGGAATTTCACCAGTTATAGATTCTAAGTACAACTATAACGATTTATTCTCAACATTAGTGTATACTTGAATTCTATGTATGTATTCACCGTTTATCAACAAATGGCATTTGATCATGTTTACATTAAACAAGTAGTTTAAATAAAGAAATGTAGTTTATTCATTGAATGTCTCTATTTTTAATCGAATGAATGAAACTTTTGAGCTGTTTGGTATTTCTTGATTTTCTTTTCTTCTTCTTCTTCTTAACATTCATAAACAAATATCTTGTCGTCATTTAGATCGGATGATGTTCGTCGAAGGGCTCTCCACTTTAGTGGCCCGAGATATGACTCCACTTTGATCGTACGAATGATCGTTGTCGAAATATATATGTCATCTATTCTCTTATATAATCATCGACTTAAATCGCGTTAGTCAATAACGAAATTAAATAAGTCAAATAACGAGAATGGACTTTTGGATACATATATCTTGTATATGAAGCGAATGGAATAAAGTGAAGCGAAACGACGCCCAGTGCAGTAGCCGGATAAGCCAACTCCCCATTTAACCAAGAGTTAATCAATATTTATAGTTACACAACAAATAAGTTACACACATATGATGAGCAATGGGATAAGAAGTGTAAACACACCTACGCGCTCATATAAAAACAGTGAAGATTGATAAGGTCAAAATATAACTCAAGTAGAATGAATAGATTGAGTTGTCTGAAAGTTAGAATAAGGTATATGGACTTAATATAATAACCGACAGTACATTCTTAATAAAAATTTATCCCTACTGATTCTGATAGAAAATGTGAAATAAATCAAATGAACTTGTTTGATAACATTTAATCTGCACAAACACAAATGACATTGATCACCATCGACTGACCAATCAATTGCAAATACATCTGAGTCCTACAGGTGATTAGTTGAGGCCCAGTTAGCTCAATGATAACGTCTCTGACTATGAACTTAGGTGACACAGGATCCAAATCCATCAGATAGCATTAGTTTCAACAAAATTACAGGTACATCTTGCTGACAAATGTCAAATAGTACAAAACCCGAATCCAATCAACATCTATAATGAATCTATTACTTTATTATCATAAAGAAAGATTTCCATACTAAACCCATTTGATAAATGTAAAATCTTATGATTACAAGATATGGAAATTGAATTTTTTTTTTATAGAAGAAAAAAATAATAAAGAAAAATTCATCCCTCAAATGTTTGTTTTTTTTTATTTAAAATTTCATACCTGAAATGAAAGTAATTTACACTTCATACATGATAACATACCTATCACATTTAATTTGTTTAGTCTAACAGTGAATTCATGAATCGTTTTTGTTTTTTTTCTTCTTCTTCTTCTTCTTCATCTTCATTTTCTTTTTCTCTCTTTTTTTCTCTTTTTTTTCTATCAATCATAAAGACAACAAAATCTTGTATGATGGAATTTATTTCTCTAATTTTGTTTCTGGTTGGAGGGGGGGAGGAGAGGGGGTAAGGGAATCATTTAAATAACATAATTATTTTTTCTTTTTTTTTTTTAAAAAAAAGGTTCCTTATCAAAGTGTCAATCTCATTTGTAGACTTCTGATCATTGGTAAATCTATATTCATGTTTGTTATATTGTATCTTTTAAAATTCCTTTCTTTTTTGTTTTTTTTAAAATTTTAGTTGCTATGCAAATCAATGTTGTTATTCTTCTTTTTCTTTTCTTTTTTTTCACAGATTTCATAAGTTTCATTTGTGGATGAATATACTTTGAAGATGATGATTATGATCAAAATAACCATCAGCTATTTCGTGTTATTCAATGTATAGATTTAATGATTAAAGTATATTCAAACATCATTTATACAATTCATTTCATTGAAATAATCAGATGAATAGATGAGTTAAACTTTAATTTTGAATGTCATTCATATAGGTAACATTATTTTCTTAATATCAATAAATTAATTTAGTCTTAACTGGTTTTAATAGTTGAATGTGTAAGTCAGTTATAGCTAGATTACTATTGGAAACGTCAAAGAATTGGACAGTTGTTTTGTTCTAGTATGAAACTTCTTAGCATTATGAATCCCTGATCCTTCAGTCACTACATGAACTCAAGATTTATCGATTTCGCGTAAGAATGCTTAAGCTTTAGACTATTGAATTGGTATTTAATGGTGTTAATGTGTAATCTACATTGATCTATGAATAGTTGCACAACTATTCATCCATTCTTTGAGGTAGAAAACTATCACTACTCGATATGGCGTCTCATACTAGAACAAAAAGGCCATTCAATGCTTTTGGGTTTTCTAGGGTAGTCTAGCTTACATCGACTCATGAATTTAACTATTAAAATTAACACAATCTCCACAAAACCCATTTTGATAACTAACTGAAAACATATTATTATTATTAATAAGAGCATTTTTTGAAGGTCTTCTTGTTATGTTTGAAGAGATTATGAGTTCACCTTATTTATGAACCGAAGGAAAGCTCAGTGACATAAAATGAGCTAACTATTTCAATACGTCCCAGTCCCGCTAACCAGAGAGAGAAATCTAGATTCAGAAGAGGAAAATGTATTTCACAACCAGCCAGAAGCACGAAAAACAACAACGAGCACAACTCAAGCTTATATATGCAGTCTAAAAGTGTACTCGGAAAATGTGACAAAATAGCATATTAATAGATAGAATGAACCAATAGCATTTAAGGTCCTCCCAATTGGGAAATATGACATGAAGTTGAAAACGGGTGTTTTTGGTGCGAAAACAAGAAATTCAAATTTTCAAAATAAAATTTAAAAAATAAAACATTTGTTCTGAGGATCTGACATTAGATGGTGGTTGGAGGTAGTCGACAGGAAACCCTAGATCCGGATTTCGTGCTACTT